GGACCAAAGCTGGAGGCTGGTTATATGGACCAAGGAGAGGGAGAGGTGGAGAGGAAAAGGTGGGGGAAAAAGGACCATGTTTTCCCCCAAAAGCTGTCCCCCGGATACAGATATTTTTGGGGGAAAACAGCTATACAGCTGTAAAGTACACACTCTGAGGAGAGAGGCCGGCTAGCTTTTGGAGCTGCAGGTGGCCGGCCGGCCACCTCCCATGGCCGGCCGGCCAAGGGTCAAAAAGGTCAAGAAGATTTAGTGGCCGGCCACCACAGATAGGTGTCCTTCCAGATACCCTAAACACAACCCTGTGGTTCAAAATTGGCAACAGTGAAACAAGAGGGACAACAAGCCATTTTTAGGAAGGGGTCAAAAGGATCAGGTGGAATTACTGGCCGCCACCAACTTTTAGTGTCCTCCCATGTGTGTATAACACAAATATGTGGTTAGAAGTTCAAGAAAATGGCCCAAGGTTGTTCAACATTAGCTTGGAAGTAAGAAAAACGGGCGTCGGAGGGCGCCGGAGGAATATAACTGGTTGCTGAAACAATTGCTGGCCTCCCACCCTTCTACGGCCTTCCTGGTGATAAAACAGAGGTACCTGCCAAAAATGAACGAAAACCGATGCAAAACGAATGCTCGGGGGCCAAAACACGCAGTTCGGGATCCCGAAAATGGGCTGCCAAGCACCGAAAGTGGCGTTCGGCCACGAAGTGGGTTTCTCAGGCCCCAGTGTCCCTTGAAAGGGAGAAAATAAGATGTATGCCAAAATTAGAGCAAACGAAGATGGTTAAGCGGTCCCGAACCGAGGCACACGGCCAACGGTCCCGAAAAACCGGAAACCGGACTCCGAAATGGGCAAAATGGCCTGCGGCCACAAAATGTAGCCCACAGCCACTGAGAGATGGTCTACTGGACCTCTCCCTCCCCTCAGGAAAAGAAACAGAGAAAATCGAGTCTGGTTCGCAAACCGAGGCAAGGCACAGAAGAGGGTTCGGAAGTCCGGAGGCAGGGCTCACGGCCGCGACTCTGAAACTTCTGAACGAGCACGATATGCAACATCACCAAGCGCTCAATCGGTGACGTCTGAGTCTTAAGGTCGATCAAAAATAAGGTGTCTACACGGTGGCGCTGAGATGTTGAAGGAGGAGAGAGAATGAGCGAGAGAGAGAGAGAGAGAGAGAGAGATAGGGCACAATCGCTGATACACAATTCCAAAGCCTAGAAAACAAAAACGACGCTGTTTTGAATTATAGATTAATTTGATAAAATAAAATACTAAAAAATAAAAATTATTTTCGCTTTCAAAAAAATAATATAAAAATTAAAGTTTTTTTTTTTTTTCTCTTCATTTTTTACCAAACTAGTTTTTGAAACAAGCGTTTTTTTATTTTTTCAAACTCAACCAAATGCCTACTCACTTAACACATAATTTATCATTTTATCTTTTTCATATAATTGTAAGGGTAATTACATTTTTATCCTTCATTTTTTTTTGAATTTAACTTTGTTCTCTCACTTTGAATAAAGATTGAGAGCTCTAATTTCAGAACTTAAAAAGAACTCTAGTGATATGGCAAGAAGTAGATCCCACATGTAATGTGATGTGTGTGCCTATTTTTTTTTGTTTTTTTGTTAAATCACTAGAGCTCTCTTTAGAACTCTAAAATTAAAATTCTCTATTATTGTTGCTCACTTTGTAATTGCAATGATTAAGACGACTACATTAAAATTGAATTAAAAACTCGGTGGTATTATATACATCAATTAGTATATTAATTAGTGTACCAACATTAGTTATAACATTATTATTGACCTTACTCATTATACAAATTACAAATATCAAAAACTTTTTAAATTATGTCACATCATCAATTGATATACTAATTAATGCATATAGTATTATTCTTAAAAACTTGAGGCATCATGAGGAATTACTTATGATGATACATTAAATATTTTCACATAATTCAATATCCACTTTGATCTAGTGCATCTCCTATAGATTGACAACTATTAAATTCACCTTACAATACTTAATTTTCAAATTAGGTATATTAAATTCACTCTACAATACTTTTTTTTTTTTTTTGATCAGCAAAGAAAAATTTCATTTAACAGCATGAAATTAAAAATACAGGAAGATGACATGCAATACTTAATTTTCAAATTAGATTGAATTGGAGGTAGTTTCTTACCCTCAAACAACACAATTTAGAGAATCTATTTCCGATTAAATTTTGTTCAATTATCCACTAAAGTAAGGGTGAGGATAGTTCAATTTGTTTTGGTTTAAAACTAAACCAAAGACTCATTGCCTAAAGTATTGAAAAATTTGAAACCAAATTAATAAAATGCAATTTAGTTCAATTTAAAATTATGATTTTTATAAGCCTTGTTATTACTCACGATATATTCACAAAGTATTACTCATAAAGCAATAATATGCCATCATCTTACATACACAAATGGTTTAAATGCTTGTTTAAAAATAATTCTAACACTATACAATAAAACACTTTCAAGAGTAGAGGAGGGGGTGAATGAGATACTAATTAGATTAGGTTCAATTTAGAATTACGATTTTTTTAAGCCTTGTTATTGTTCAGAATATATTCACAAAGTATTACTCATAAAGCAAAAATATACCATCATCTTACATACACAAATGGTTTAGTGCTTGTTTAAAAATAATTCCAATACTATACAATAAAACACCTTCAAGCGTAAATGATTAATGAGATACTAATTAGATTAGGTACTTAAGTATAGGACTGTAAATCAAAAGAGTCATTCATAAATAGGCTCAAATTCGGCTCTATAAAAGCACATCCGAACTTAGTTCGTTAATTTTTATTTTTTTGTTGCATTTGAGCTCAAGCTCAAACTCGTTAAAATTTTAATAAATAAATTTAAACATATTAAAGCTCAGCTTGTTAGTAGCCTCGTTTAACATTTATTATTTATATATTAAATAATATAAAAATATATATAAAAAAAAGAAGATAAATATGTTATTTATATATTTAGAAAATGTAAATGTAAATAATAGTTAACTATTGATAATATATTTATATAGTAGTGATTAGGGGTGGGCACGGATCGGTTGTGGCCACAAAACTTCCAATCCGCCATCCGTCTGCCAAATTGGCGAATTGGAGAAAATCAATCTGTATCCGTTCGCTAATCCAGCGGATTGGCGGATGGATATGAATCGATTTTACGGTTTAAAAGTTTACAAAATTTCAACATAAAATTGCACACTTTCTCAAAAACACAACCTGAACATAATTCAATTGTGCATTGCACTTCCTAAAATATTGTCAAAACATAGGTAAGCAAAAGATAATGCAAGTGGGCAATGATATACTGCCAGACCAATTCACTACATATTTATATATATTGTATACATAATTGTAAAATCAAAATTTTAATTATAATTTTAGTTTCATATGCAATTATAAATTTATAATTTTTGTATCTCATTAAGGCCTGTGAACATGTTCAAACTCGAGTCAAGCCTAAGCCAATTCGGCTCAAGTTCGGGTCGTTAAATTTTTATTAAATTCGAGTTTGGACTCGTTAAAATCTTAACAAACAAATCTAAATGTACTAAAACTCAATTTGACTCGTACATATATATATATATATATAAATAGTCTGATTTAATTTTAAACCATAACCTTAACTATAAGGTTATGAATTAAACTGTGAAATATAATTCGGTTACTACAAAAATGAGTCATTTAAAGCTATGTTTTGTTGACTTTTTAGCTAAAAAAATACAAAAAATAAAATTAGCTATATAAGTTAATAAGATAAAATGTCACATTCAAACCATAATCATTATACTTTGTTTCTCACAAAAGTTTAAAAAGCCAAAAATAAAAACCAAACGAAGCTAAAAAAGTCAAATTAAAATAACAAAAAAGTCAAAAAATCAGATTATTTTAATTCTTCCCGAACAAAGACTAAAGTCTTGTTTGGCATGATCTAAAAAATTTAAAAAGTCAAAAAGTCACTATCCTATTTAAGTCACATCATCTTATTTAAGTCACATCACCTCTCTAACACATCACTTCAAACCCAACCCATACTCAACTTATATTTCATAAAAAGTTAGAAAGTGCACTTATTTAGATTATCCCACTCGACTTGTATTTTAATTCATTAAAAACTCATTTGAGCTCAATTTTCTTGTTATGTAATTAAGTGAATCACCTGCAATGCAAAAAATTAGAGTGACAAACAAAATGAAGCATAACATTTTTTTGTTGTAAAAAAATATTAGTGTTGTATTTGAAATATAAATTTGTGCCCCCCCAACCCAACCCCCCCCCCCCTCAAAAAAAAATAAAATAAAATTGAGAACCCACCAACATTCATTACAATTTTAAAAAATATATATATATATATATATATTTCATGCACTAGTCCCTTCTCTTTCAAGAATTCAAACACAAGTTACAAAATTTTCTTACAATAATTAGATATAAAGAGGAAAGAGGAAATCACACTTTCAATACAACATTTTAGGTAAACAAAACTCATAAAAAAGCACAATGAAAGTTAGAACAGTTTCACCAAACTGAAGACTTCCAGCATGCTATTACATCTGATAAATCAGAAACATCCCTAAAAAATAAAAAATAAAAAAACCATTTTTTTCCACCTTTTTGTATTGACAATTGAATGCACATTGTTATTATGGTATTTCACAAAAAATAAATAAAAAATAAATAAAGAATCTTATTCCTAATTGTTCAGAGAATATTAAGCCAAAAATTGAAATATACCATTATTATATATATCTTCCAACCAAGAAACAACAACAATGATCAAATACCTCCTTAAAAGTAAATTCAGTGATTGGAATATCCAGAATTTGGCACTTTCATATTTGGTAGCAACTAGTAAAATACATGCCACAGTAGGCAAACCAAGTTGAGATGAGCTTGGAATGAGCATGAAGAAATTACCGATACTTCTTTCATCTTTTTAAGTAATATTCAGCTGAATGGGTTGGCTCAAGATCTTTGGTATCTATCCGAACTAGACGAAAAAATGGGATCACTTCTTATGGACTCATTGTGAATGATTCCCATCTCGTTCATATAGCCAAGTAGAAGTAGAAAGCATGATGGTTTCTGACGGGATGGATCCTCATGGACAAAAAACGATTGTTGTCAATCTAGGGAGAATTGATTTGACAACAATGAGTATTCTTTGTATGTTTTCATCATAATGGTTGTCATTGTGAATTTCAATGAATCTCGCCTGCAAGAAAGATTATCCAATGAATAACTAAGCCAAAAAAAAAAAAATACCAACATCAATTTGACAAAATGAATTCATTGCAAATGAATAACATAAATTACTGTGACTCAAACCCACACTACAAAGAACGTTAACAGAAGCCTTGCCATCGCACCAAGCTGCCCTTTTTTCAAGTAAATATATTTCATTCATTCATATAGTAATATACATTATATGTGGCAACATTGGCTCCAATAAAATTATTGAAGATGTAAATGAGGCCCAAGTCTCGGATTGATTCTCAAGACAGAATCAAACTGAAATCATCGGTTCTACCAAAGCAATACCTTTCAAAACTAAACTGAAGACATCAGGGAAAACATAAAATCAAGCCCAACCAAACAGGAAAACTAGATAATATAGTCATGATGCTTGTAATAGCAGAATGTGATTCTTTTATTGACTATGACACTTGATTTATTACTATTATCAATCTTCTCATACACCACCATCATCACAATATTAGCTATTAATTGTACTTAGTTTCGCTTATTTTCCAAATTAATTGCTAGCTATTAGTAAATTCTGTTTGGACACAAAATGATAAGCAATTCTTTTAATCAAACAGATTTGATCATATACATGCGAACTTATAGTGCTGGGGAAAAATAAAAGAACTAAGAAAAGAAGCAAGAGAGTACGAAAAGAACTAATGCACTCATTCTCATGTTTGGTTTATTAAAAAGGGCAGAACTGTACATTCCAAATGGAATCAACATTTATCAATTTAGGAGAATTATCATTCTGTTGGGAGAATAGCCATTCTATTCCTATCAAAGACCATTCTAGTGAATCAAACACTATCTAATAAATGAAATACTCAACTTAATGGTGTACTCATTTAGGCAAATAAACACCATTCACCTATTTAGGAGAATGAACATTCTATTGGGATGCCGAAGAATATCAATTTTATTATTGCCAAAAAGCAGTTTAGTGAACCAAAATTGCCTAAGAAATGAACAGAATCAACTTAACGGTACACATTTAGGCAAATAACCAATCTCACTTTTCTTTTTTTTCCCCCCAGTTAACCATTTCCTTATTTTGAGGCAATGTGTTTGATTAAATGTAGAGTTAATTACATCAAGAATCCCTTGACTATTAGCGAATATTAGCTTATCCTTATCCCTCTCATCTATGAACCTACACATTTTGATCCCTTCATCAACTATAAAAATGTAATTCACCCCTAAATGAACTAAAAATGGAAGTGAGAACTGGAAGTAAAAAAAAATGAGCAATGACACACAAAAGAAAGGAAAAATAAAACTAGTCTGGACTAGAGATTTTGCAGGAGGAAAAAAAAATGAAAAGCTTCAAACTTAACATGGATGCAAAAAACTTCAAAACCTGAATTCAACTGACCTGTGAAATTCTCGCTCGTTGAGAAATGCCTACAATATCACGATCAACTAGGAAGACATCAGCAAACACCACTCGTCTGCTTAAAATTACATTTTTGCATTGCAAATATGGGCTCCAAGCAATAGATTAATCAGACTGCCAAAAATAAAAATAAAAATAACTGTAAGGATGAAAAATTAATGCATATAGTGGATAAATGCCAATGGTAAAGAGACACCCAAACAAAAAAACATTTTATAATTTTTTTACATGTGTCGAACCATACTGGCCAAGGGCATTGCTTCATACAATGGTAAAATCCTTGGCTGCTAAGCCAAGAGTGAATTAATAAAGATTTGTTTATTGATGTACTCATTCATAATTCGTATGATCCCATCAATAAAGATTTGTTTTGCCGATCAAACAAAAAAAAAAGAAAAAAAGAGTGAATTAATAAGAGTGTATGATGTTATTGTCAATGAAAATGCTAACTGGAACATTAATAAACATAATTACTACATAAATCCAATTTATATATTATTTTTTGATTAAATTCATTGTTGTAATTCATAATTAGTGTGGCATGGAGGGCTTGTTTATTATTTCCAAATTCATTATAGGGAAACCAAACTATAGTAGTGCTATCTTCTTCTTTTTTTAACAAATTCATGTTGGCTCACTAAACAAATCACTTAAAACTTTAGCATGCTCATCTTATAATTCTTAGGGTTAAAAGAGAAAAATGAACCATTTAATAGCTCTGTAAAAATATTAGCAACTTGGTGTTGAAATAGCTTCCTTTTCTTTTCACCAAGCAACAATTCAAATGAAACTTTTTTTTTTTTTTTTACCTCTCTAAAAAAAAAAAAAAAAAAAAAAAAAAAAAAAAAAAAAAAAAAAAAAAAAACAACAACCTTTATTGAAACATCATCGAGGCAATTACAACAACAATACAACAATAAAGAAGAGACCAAGTGCAAAAAAATCATAGCGAAACAAATACATTCCAACTAAGTTGGCATTGATATGAATGCCTTAATCATGTGATAGCAAAAGGCCGAGTTTGGTGAGAAACCTAACAAAAGACGGGAAAGCAAGAGCCAACATGGCCACCAAAACAACAAAAAAACAAGCAAAGGCAATCAAACAAAACAAAATACACACCATAATCAGTCTAACCACCCAATTAAGATGAAACTTGATGACACTATGGTGCTACTACTAAATATAACAAACAAATGTATTCTTATTCCTCAAATTTTATAGTGGTATTGTCATGTTAAAAATATTGCATTTCAAGAAAATAATCTAATTCTCACAAGTAATGCTTCAGTGTGCATTATACACCACATGCAATCATACCACAAAATTACTAAGTTTTCACAAACTTAAATAAGTGATCTCACAAAAATGCATAAATTAAACACAAATTCACGTAAGTTCAGTTTTATGAATAGACTTACGCGAATTTGTGTTTAACTTACGCATTTTTGTAAGATCAATTATGCAAGTTCGCAAAAATTTGCACAATTTTGTGATAAAGTTGCGTATGGTGTGCATTTCATACAGGAGAATGCTCTTGCTTTTTCAATGGTTACCTGTTATCTATTGCAATTAGCTTTACACAATCGTATCACGTTGCTTTATGGCAAAAAAAGTGAGCAATTTGCTTAATATATATATATGAAACTTTGATAGAGATCATCTTTTATGAAGAACTCTTTCTAGAGAATTAGAGAGAGAGAGAGAAAGGAAAGAGTTCTAGAATTGAGAAGGAAAGCTAGAGATTTGAAAGAGATTCAAGAAAAAAATTCCTAGATTTGAGCTAAGGTATAAAAATCTATCTAGAATCCTTGTAAATAACTCATCTTTTGTTTGAAATCAAAAGGAATTTAGAGATTTTAACGTATATGAGTTAGAGTTTTGGGTTGTGTGATTATTTGAACTAAATTTAAGAAATTGAGCCTTGATCTCTTTAGCCTTGTTTGATTTGAGTTCAATCTTGCGAATACATCATAAGATAAGCTCTAGATTGTTCATAAAACAAAGATTTGTGTAAGGATTATCCATGTATATGTATTTTGAACTTGATCATGTGATTCTTGAATTTATGAAAAAGATGAGACCTTGATTTTGAACTTTAAGCAAGATTGATGTGTTTGAGTTGGAATTACACTTATATAATGTTAGTAGATCATATTTTTGAGTTAGTTTTGCATGAGTCTGGGCTTGCATTTGAGTTTGGAAATTTGGTTTCAAAACCTCATTTTCGGACTATCTGGTTTCGCCCAGACCGCTCGTGCAGTTGTGAGCTCCACACGAGCGGAACATGAACCAAAACAAGGGAATGCATTCTGCTTGCTCGAGCGGCTAACACTTCCGCACGAGCAGAACATGACCACTCGAGCGGTGAGGCCTTCTATACGAACAGACAGCAGGGGGAAAATTCTGCTTTCTTTTTGTTTACCTTTCCGACCTTCCAAACGCATTTTTGACCTTATGTAAACACTTTGGAAAATGAAATGATGATTAGAAACCCATTGAAAATGATGTGAATCATTAAAAAAAAAGTGTACGAAATGGAACATATTATTTATCGAATGTGCATGTGTGAAATGTTGTGTAGTTCGTGCATCAGAGGGAACGCAGCAAGACCAAACGCATTGTGAGTAATAAGTTTGTAAAGATATGTTCTTACTTATTCTTTTGGAACAATATGAATTTTGTATATGTATATGTACTTCTGAAATTGTATTCTGATATGACTTGAATGAGTTTTGATTAATGAATGTTATAAAGTGTTGTACGAATGTTATAAAATGAAGGTTGATGAATTATACATTGAATCCGAGGTCGTTTTATTATATGTGGGCCCGAGGCTGTTTTGTTATATGTGGGCCCGAGACCGTTTTGCACATTGAACCCGATGGCATTTTGTTATATGTGAACTTGAGGCCGTATTGTTATATGTGGACCTAAGGCTGTTTTGCACATTGGACCCAAGGTCGTTTGTTATATGTGGGCCCGAGGCATTCTGTATAATTGGACCCGAGGTCGTTTTGAATGTTTAGGCCTTAGGCCGTTCTGTATAATTGGACCCGAGGTCATTTTGAATGTTTGAGCTTGAGGTCGTTTTGTATAATTGGATTCGAGTTCGTTCCATAACATGTTGATCTCGAGACCGATTGCCAAATTTGAATGTGAATAAAATTATGGATCATTTTTACTTCCGAAAACTTATTGTTTATGTTAAATATGTTCGATGGTTCAAACTCATATATTAACCCTTTGCACTGTTATTATTCATTGAGTTTCGCTCACTCCTTATTTTATATGTATATAAGTGGTCAGCAGGGAGATCAGTCTTAGAGTCAGCCTCAGAAACTGTCTATGTGGACCTGTTATACCAAGCCTCCAAGATGGAGCTTTTGTCTTTTTGGTGTTATAGTTTATGTTAAGTCTTTTGTTTGATTTTTGTCAAATGGGTTTGTGTACATGTAAACTTAATATTAATGATTCCTATGTATATAAGTTATGTTTGGAAATCATATTATGTATATGGGAGTTTATCCTAATCTTTTAAGTACTGCTCAATGGATATTATACATAATATTTGTTTCCGCTTAAGGCCCCAATATTAAAAATATTTGTTTTTTGTATAAGGCCATAGGTAATCGTGTGATTGCTGACGGTTATGAACCAAACTTTTAGAGACGGGCTTGAGTCATGATAGAGTGGTATCAGAGCACGAATTAATAACTCATACACTGGTCCATTTGAGCAATAAAGAGTCTAGAAAAGAAAAAGAACCATTTGCATTTGTGTTACAAGTGTATGAGTTAAGATGTGAATCCATGATCTTTATGTGAACATAAGAATGCAAGATCTAAATACAAGCGTGCTTTCCTAAGCTTCTTATTGAGTATGATGTATATGAGAATATATGGGTAGATATGATTATTGTTTGAGCATGAACATGGAAATTATGTAACCATGTGTACATTTCTAATCTTAGCGTGAGAAGTAACCTATGTGAGTATGTGATATGAGTGTGAACCGAAAAAAAAAAGTTATGTGAATTAATGTGTAATTTTGATATTGATATCAATATTGAATGTGTGACTTATGTGATTATGAACATATGAACATGAAAGTTATATGATTTACATGAACCTACATGTGCAACTCTATTGTTGATGTATGTTATATATATATATATATATAGCAAAATGGTGAAAACAAGAGTGGACGAATAGGAGGAGTCTACCTCCTCTCGACTTGATAGACTGGAAAGAATAGTAGAAGAAATGGCAGAGGCCTTAAGACAGCAAAAAGTGTTAGACCCTGCACTGATATCTATGGCCAACATGAACCAATTTCTAGAATGGAAAAGAAAGAAACGAAGCTCTAATGTGAACAAAAAATTCATGAAGAATAAGAAATGGAAATTAGAAATATCTAGGCAAGATAAATTCAATCAAAGAAATGATTCAGTACCGATTTGTTCAGAATGTGGGGATTTGTTATCGACTTTCCGAAGCTTATTATAGATGTGGCGAACTGAGTCATAAGGTAAGGGATTGTCTCCGGATTGAACAAAATGTGAATGAATCTGCCACCTTAGTTAGTTTTATACCAATGGCAAGACTTGTTACAACAAATGAAATTGCTAGTCAAGATAGAGTAATTACACTCGTCCCAGAAAACACTCAGCATACTAGGACTGTCGTTCCAGGTACTTTTATTGTTCATGAACGAATGCTTATGTGTTGATTGATTAGGGACTCTTATATATATATGTACCTTTACTCAGAATGTTAATTGATACTGGATATATGTATATATTTATACCTTTGTTTGGGATGATTGTTATAGTACTTATTCCCACTAACTAGACCATTAGGGTTATAACTCTACAACTATGTGACTGGAATGGACACCCCATATAATGAATTCTTTATACTTTGCTTGTTTAACGTTGACTGAACTACTTGACTGGATTCTTAGAACCACGAATTTGTAATTATATAACCTACTTGGAATTTTCGCATAACAAATTCTATATTATGTACTACCAAGGAACTTTATGTTAAAAACAATTGTATATCTGTGTATCTGCATGTGAACTTGTTTAAAGAAAACTATATTGTGTAGGACCTGAGCCACTTTGATATAAAACATTATGATGTATGATCTTGAGAACAAAGGAAACTATGAAAACTATGAGACACTTTGAAAACAAATGGATTGTTTTTACTTTCGAAAACTTATTATTTATGTTAAATATATTCGATGGTTCAAACTCATATATTAACCCTTTGCACTGTTATTATTTCATTGAGCTTCGCTTACTCCCTAATTTATATTTATATAGGTGGTCAGCAGGGAGATCAGCTTTAGAATTAACCTCAAGAACTGTCTATGTGGACCTGTTATACCAAACCTCCAAGATGGAGCTTTTATCTTTTTGGTGTTATAGTTTATGTTAAAGTCTTTTGTTTGCTTTTTGTCAAATGGGCTTGTGTATATGTAAACTTAATACTAAAGACTCCAGTGTATATAAGTTATGTTTGGAAATCATGTTATGTATATGGAAATTTGTCCTAATCTTTTAGGCACTGCTCAATGGACGTTATACATAATATTTGCTTCCGCTTAAGAGCCCATTATTAAAAACATTTGTTTTCTTGTTCCTAATCTTTTAAGCACTGCTCAATGGACGTTATACATAATATTTGCTTCCGCTTAAGGATCCATTATTAAAAACATTTGTTTTCTGTATGAGGCCGTAGGTAATTTTGTAATTACTGGTCGGTTATGAACTAAACTTTTAGGAGCAGGTTTGGGTCATGACCATAATGCTCAACACAAACTAATGGAGTAGAATACCCCGAAATTTATGGTAGAGAGAATTAGATAAAAAAGGCAAATACCAAATTTTGCAACATAGTTCTCAACACAAAATAAAGGAGCTGAAAACTATCACACGTGGGAAGAGAAAAGTACACATTCGAACTTACCATGCCAAAGGATAATCTAAAACAGACATGTCAAGCATTCAAAAGTCATTTAATAATAAAAATAAAAAAAATTTACACTTCAGTTCAGCAGATACTTAAAAAAAATGTGTTGAATTGATAGAACTAAAATTTCAATTTTTTTTTTTGGGGGGGTAAAATAAGGGCCAAAATAAGGGCCGAAGCCAGAGCTAAACACGAGGTTCAAGGAAACATGATTCTTGCTTATCCTCAATCAAACTAGATAATGCCAAGGGGGCTACATCAAGAAATTCACGTTGAGCATAATAGTGAAGAGCATCCTTTGCGAGAAAATCCGCACTCCTGTTAGCTTCATGCTAAATGAGATGGAGTTCACAAAGCCAATCACGGGCTACCATATCACAAATTCAAAATTAATTTAAAACCACCTTCCATTCACAATAGTTAGCATCTAAGTCATAAGTCTCTTTCAATTAAAATTCAAGTCAATTATTAAAAAGCATCTCCAATGTGTTTGATAACTTTTATCAGGAAAAACTAAATGTGTTGAAAGAAATAAATTAAATATAACCACATTTCACATCAAACTAAATGTATTGAAAGAAAACAAATTAAATATAACCACAATTCACATCACTTGTAAAAATTTAAATATCACTTCAAATGTGAGTTAAAATTTTAAACTTGCTAAAGATTTTTACTTAATGCATCTTCATCTGCTTATGCTTAAGTCATTGTTAAAATAAAACCACTACCATTGCCAATTTGCCACTTTGCTACCACTACCGAAGTTCTCAAAGCAACCCTTACACCCCCGCCATCACCAATAATATAACCACTACCACCACATTATCACTTACTTTTTTCACTTCCGCTACCATTGGATCACCATTATCAATGCCACCACCAACACTTCACCATTGTCACTACACTGCCATTATCCTCGCTATTACCACCATCATCACCATTATTCCACCCTAGCACTACTAATGCTACAAACCTACTATCATCCCCACCTTCAGCACATCTAACACTACAAAAAAAAAAAAAAAAAAATTAAGGTTTTAGAGACCAAAATTTAGAAACAAAATTATTTTTTAGAGATCAAATAATTTTGTTGCGAAAAGTGTCATTATTATATTTTTAGCAACAAAAATTGGACATTAGTGATGAATTATTATCCTTTTGGAACTAAATTTTTTGCCTCAAAAAATAAATCATTTTGAAATCAGATTATTTTGTCTTTAAAAGTCTATTTATTAGTGACATTTTCAAAATTGTCTCTAAAAGCCTTAATTTTTACTTTTCGGGATGACCTTTTAACGACTATTCTAATGATGATGGGAATTGGTCTCTAAATGTCTTTTGCAACAAAATTTTTACTTTTAGAGACCAAAATATTTGGTCTATAAAACCCTTATATGTGTAACTTACCCTACCACACCACCATTACCATTACTGTGCTAGTGCCGCCACCATCATCACTCCATTATTGTTGTTTCCACCATTACCCCAATAATAGTCCACTATCATAGTCACCATAACTATTTGTCTACTACCACCGCCACCAATCTACCACCATCTTCGTCACCTCTTATCAGCCACAACACAACCACCATCACTCACCAGCACACCTTAGTCTTTATCTTATTTGGTAGCTTCTTCTCAAATTAAAAGCAACAATGGTCATGCTTTTAAGTTATGCTTGGATCATGAATTTGTAGAAGAAGAAAAAAATTGGAAAGAATAAGTAGAAAAAAAATCTTATATTTCTTTCATTTATCTCTTACCATTTCTAATCCGTTCACATGTCCTTCATAGATCTACCATCCAAACATAACCTTAAAATAGTATGTGATCTAGAGTTTCAACCTTGTCTATCAGTCAAACAAATTAAACTGGACACTTGACAGAACCATGCACTAGGATGTATTTACCAAAAAAAGAAAAAGAAAACGAAATTAGCAAAAGTTAGTAAAAATTAAATCAAATCCTAGTCAAGCAACAAACATTTTTTTTGCAGCACTTACAGCTCGAAATTGATGTTTTTACTGCAAAGAAAAACAGTTAAAAATGCCTAACGCCATCAACAAAAATAAATTATGGCACAGATACCAATAAAGGCTTATAGGAAGAGTGACAAACATAAACTCTCATTGAAGATGGAACCAACAATAATTCATTAATTAAAAATTATTGTGCAGCATTTGTTGATGTATGGGTCCATCCATTTTTGTTAGAATATATGCAATGCAAATCCAAGAAAAATTTTATGCAAATTCTTCCCTATCAAGGAAGAAAATATTCCATCACTTGTCGGTGAATCATGAAACAACATTTGTTGGTGTATGCATCCATTCATTTTGTTAGAATAATGCATTGCCTGTTCATGGAAAAGTTTATGTAAATTCTTGCCTATCAAACATTAAAGAAATAAAATATTGCATCACTTGTCCATGAATCATGAAACATAGTTAAATACTCACTTATTGGACATAAAGCTAGAAATATATTTGTTTAAGCAAATGCTCCATATAATATATATATATATATATTGGATAAGTGGCTTGTTTAGTAATCATATATATGCAAACATACATCTTGCATATCAACCACAAAATAAAGGATTCTTAAAAGAATTAAGAAAGGTTGGACCCCGCATCATCATCAAGCACATCGAAGCGAACAACAAAAGCTCTAACAAATAATAACACCCCGTTTAATTATAATGAAAATGGTTGTAGAGCAGAAAAGATAAAGGGAGCAGGGAAAGGCAAAACTCCACCTATTGCTAAAATTGTCTAAACCTACATATCATCTATGATTCAAAACTGATGTGATGCTACAAAGGATTGTGCTTGTTCTATGGTGCCAACCTAGTTGGGATCATATTACTTAGCTATGATGCTTGTGCATTCATCTCTCTTATTGTTGTTTAGTTTATTATTTCTCATCAATAAATCTCTTTCTTTGCCATTCAAAAAAAAAAATCTATGATTCAAAACTGCTTTTCTAATCCATAATCTCACAACAAACTAAAGGCGTGTTATGAACAATTTATCGCCCTCAAGTTTTGAATAGAGACAATAGCCCCACATCTATCAAATTATAACATCATCAGCATCTCTAATGGAATGGAATTTGTGTTAAAATGTGTATTAATTGACAAATAATGAACCAAATTTTGTGTATTAAGTGTTTGTTAATTTAAAAAGTAAATGAATGCTCTAATGGCGTAGGTGAAATGTGTATTAAGTGGGCATAAAATTGAAAAGGTCCACCTCCCGCCCCATCTAAAGTAAATGTCCAGAAATACTTCTCCGGAATTTTACCCAAATTGTAATTTTGTGGCAAAGATTCAATTGGTGTTAGAATAAATCTATACCAGTCTGAATAAAATTCTGGATAAAAAAATTGAATTTGCAATATTACTGTTGTTAGTTGCTAAGACAACTAAGAATGGACTTAACAAACCCATTGGAAAGAAAACAAACCCATCACTAACAACATAACTTAGCATCTGACACTAATTATGGAATTGGCAAGCGCACTGTGGATGGCTCTAAAATGATTTGGATTTTGGACCTCAAGTTGTGACAGTCAAATCAATTTTTGAAATAACTTCAATAAAACAATACATAAAATAGAAAGTAAAGACTGGTTACCTATTTGAATGTTCCAAGAAACAGCCCATTTCGTGCACTCTATATCATGTGAAGACAAAACTCAACATTCAAAAAGAAGAAAAGAAGCATGTAATAAACATCGCATACCTGCAGAAGAAATGGAGGCCACATCATAAAATGACCCTACAAAAATAATATGGTACACTCATATCGTAGAAGTAGCTAAGATCACAGCCAAAGTAGTTCCATTCTGGTAACCCATCAAATATACCCAAACCACAAATCAAAAAACAAAAATTAAAGTGATACAACAATGATACCCAGAAGACCACAAATGAAAACACAAAAATTAAAGTGGATGGTCAGCTAATATAACTCTTCAATTTCGATATATCCCCAAAAGAGAAAAAGCAAACTAATATGCACAATTTTATGACCAAAGTGAGATTTGGTAATTAGTGACATGTTCCACAAGAAAACAAGCAAAAACAACTTGTTTTTAGTGTTTAGATCAACTAAATGCTTTACGGCAATTGAAAATGCAAGCGAAGTTCAATCACAATGTTATAAACAGCTTCTTAGAAATATAATCAAATACCTGGTCTTCATCAGAATACCTGAATCTTTCTCCAAAATCCAAGCTTATCTGCTAAAAACTCGAAAAAACAACAAAAAAAAGTTCCCTATCTGCCAAAATTAATATAAAGAAATCATTATCAGTAACGAAACGGTGCTAAAGCTAGAACTTGTACCACTTGTACTACTCTTAAACTTTATCATCGCATCAAAATCAAAACCAGAAACAAAGTACACCAACAATATTGACTACAAGTTTTTTCCAAGATTCATAAAAGATCCAAGCATAAAATCACCAAAACTTGGATTCAGATTCAGGAGAAAAACAAACCCACAAAATACCCAATATCTAAAAAGAGCATATATGAGCCAAGAGTCACAAAACTCACACAAAAGGTGAAATGAAAACCAATTTTGCAAAGGGATCACAAGAAACAAGTTTCATGCTACAGATTCAGATCAGATGATGAATTAAATCATGAAAAAGTTTATCTAATGAAAACTGAGTGTACAAACTACCTGATTAAGGCTAGATTCGGGTGAAAAACAAACTCCAATTGGAACCAATTCTCAAGTACTCATAGCATGCGCAAGAAAGGTAACCAATAGATGAAGAGAGAGAGAGAGAGAGAGGCTTTGTGTGGAGGACCATATATGTATATGTGTATGAAACGTGCTTTGTAAATGGTAATGGTCCCATAATCATACAGTTTTCTGTTAAATTAGCACAATAATTAGGGTTACCTTCTCAAAGAAAACCCATCAAAAGTCACGCTTTCAGGCTATTCACCCTACCAAATCTATAATCAAATTCAAACCCACTAAAAACCAAAGCAAATAGACACTCAAAACCACCATCATCTTGTAACCATTCTTTTCCCACAACCTTCTCATGTGTTCAACTACTACATACACACACCCAACCCACAAACCAGAAAAACAAATAGATATATATAGAGAGAGAGAGAAACAAATTCCGGGAGAGAGCAAAATGACAGAAGAGAAGTGAGCACGCAAAAGCAATGGCATAGACTTATACCAATTAGCCTCTGTGTGCTCACTCTCTTCTGTCAGTTTTTTCAAGCAGAGACCCAGAACGAGAAAATGAAAAAGAGAAAGAAAATCACAGATCAAGACTCATATTTCTTTTTTCCAGATATGGCAAACAAACAAAAAGGCAAAGAAAATGTAAACCCACATCCCAAAGAGTCAGATCTGAAAAACCCATTTACGGAAAGAGACAAAGACTCAACAAACATGCTTCAAATCAACCATTACGACCACATTTATGGTTTTCTCAGACCGTGATCAGACCACCAAGAAAGAGAGAGAGAAAAACCCAGAAAGCTAAAAATGAAGAAACAAACACGGTCTGGCTTTCTTGGCCACCACCTCTCTTCTCTCTCTTCCATGCAAGGTATACAGGTGTCGGCGACACGTACTCCGACTCCATCTGAACAAATCAAACAGTACCGATGATGGCTACCACCATAGAACGAGGAGAGAGAGAGAGAGAGAGAGTGAGGGGGGGTTTTGGGGGATGTGAATGTGATGAGACGAGTCATTTCGATGGCTTTTGAGATTCTTATAAACACACTTGTGGGTAGGGTTTTGGCACGGAACATTACGGGGAGGTATTGGACGTGGACTCATGTGGTTGGTCAATTCTAGATCTCTTTCTTGCTACGTGTAACCCTACCATCAAATTTTTATATGCTAATGGAGTATAATGTGACGGTATCCTTCACTAATTGTAAATATATATATATATATATATATTTTTTAAATATACTATCAAATCTAATCACAATAATAAAAAATATCACGTAACATTTATCGTATTTGCATATAGAAATTCCTCCCTCAAACCCCTTTTCTTGACCCTTGCGATCCATTTCTGGCTCATTCCTGGCTCTTGATTTGTGATAATTTTATTAACAGTAATGTTAGGAATACAGACCAAATATAAAATTAAACACAATTCTCTCACAAGGGATTCTCTGATAAGGGAAACCACTCCTTATAAGAGGATTGTGCCTGATTCTATATTTGATTTCGATGCACATAGATTTGCTCATTAAAATTGTATTTAGTTCATGAATTTAAAGAGTAATTTGAAAAGATAAAGGAAAAAAGAAAAAAATAGATAAAATATGAGTGAATTGTAACTATATTTTATCTCAGTTTTGCATATCTTTTCCCTTTTTCTTTTTTTTTTCTAAATCACTCCCCAATTTTATAAATTAACCACATCCTACGTACTTAAGAAAGGCTTGGTTTGGGAAGCCACTAAATAAAGTACTTCTTGACTTATTTTTATCACATTAACTCTCTATTTTTCTGTGTATCTTTTCATAATAAGAAAAAAAAAAAAAAAAACCAACTTATAGTCCAATACCTAAATCAATTGTCTAATAATTTTTTTTTTTCATTTTTATGTTGTCTCACAATAAACAAAGTGTACAACAATAATTGTGCCAAGTAATACTCATAGGCCACATTTGATTGCGAAATTACTTTTTATGGGATTATTATTGGTAGGATTTTGTCGTTATATCTTGCTATTAGAGGGAATGAATGATTAGATATGTAAAATTTTGTTCATACATAAAAATCATATAAAAAAAAATTTAATAAGATGATATGACAATGATATTATTATAAACAAATTCATTTTCAATAGTGTTATATTTTGAAATGAAAGATTTACAATGAACCAAATTATTATGTATGAATTTTTTATTTGTATGTATAACAGAATTATGGAAATAAGTCATTTCATGAGATAATGATGAAATAAATAATTGGATAGAAAGTGTTTGGCATATTTGGTTAGATCAAATAAAATATAATTATTTGAGTGTTGGGTGAAAAGAAAAAATTAATCTAGAGATGCTTAATTCTCCTAATATTACAATATTTATAGTATCATATTATTTAATCAAAAACACAAGGCTACAAATTTGATACGCCCGACTATTATAAGTGATATTCTTGATAAATGAGTTAACTACTTAATAGAAAAGCAAGTTAACTAATTTAAAGCACATTAAAGAATATACAGATCATACATCTATGTCTTTAGAAATTGGGTATTACATATTGACCAGGGCATTGAAAACTGGAAATTGATTGGATAAGGCTCAATTGGGGGAGACAAGGTCTAATAATGTAGGTTCAGTTACCTCCCCTTCTACACTATTCTACACCCCATTTTTGTCAACAAGTCATAACTGCCCTACCCAAAGTCATGACACAAATTATGTTATCAAACACTAACGTCAAAAAATACATAATTAAAAAATGAGTTAAAAGAAATATATTGATAAGTTGAAACTTATTTTGAATACAAATCTCTTCACAATTAAATTTTAAGAGTTTTAGGTATTTATATGTCATTAGAGATAAATTTAATGAGAATATTGTAAGAGTTTTAAGCAATTTTTATTAGTTTATGCATCAGTTTATCTGCGAAAAAATATTATTACATATTAAAATGAAAAAATAATCATATACATTTTTTTTTTGTTTTGTTTTTAGTGTTGCACCAAAAAGTTTTGAATTGCAATCAATAATGATCACTAAAGTCCCATTTTGGGGTCAAGCTTCACCCACGCTTGGTTGGATGGATCAACTTTAATAATGAATTGGCTACATCACTTGAAACACAAGTTCAGATACCTCATAACTTATGGGATTGAAATTAATAATCTAATAGATTTTACGTAAATTATACATGGTAGTGAAAAATAGCATGATAACAAAGTCATGTTTGATTGTTAAATTAAGTTACTTAAATTATGAATACAATAGAATTGAGTGATAAGATTATTAAAATTGTAATATTAGATTATAAATATAAAATAAATTGTTTTGTTTGTGCACTAATACAATTGTATTAGTTGATTGAGATTAAATTTATAAAATTATCAAAAATTCAACTTATATATTACAAGTCGGAACATCAATTTGAAACCAAGCTTACATCCTTCCCAAGTGTTTAGTCTTAATTAGACCTATGAAAGACCTCCAAAACTCCCATTTGCCTAAAATGGAAGTGTGAAAGTTGTCCAAATTGCCCTCCAAATTAAATGGTTAACTTTGATCTCAATTTTCTCAAATAATACCTGGATTTTTAACCAAATCAATTTTAAAATAAACTAGAATTCTTTAGCTTTCCAACAATAATTAACTTTAATAATTATTTTTTTTTTCCAAAAATTGATATCTTAATAATTTATTTTTGTTGAAAGTTTATATCTGAATAAAATATATATATATAAACTGGGAATATTTGTGATGTGAAGATAGAATTTGAGTTAATTTCACATTTTTTTAAAAGTGATCTAAAAGAGGTAAAAGTGACATATTTTTATAATAGTTAAAGAGATGATCTCAATGCAATTAAGACATTACCGTAGTGGCGGGGACCAACTGCATCCTCTAACTTTATTTTTTATTTTTTTATTACATTTCTTTAAGTTTCTTTTTTTGGGTAGAATGCACAGTGTGCTTTACTTTGAATATAGAAAGTGAATGATGATAGTATTATTTATATTAATAATAAATATTTGTGTGCCTTTAGCTGGTACAGTTTAAGGCACTAGGGGGTGGGTTGTTCTGTTGTGGAATGGGACACACCCCTCCTTTTAAAAGGACTGTGCCAGTAGTACAAGTTGGTTGTTGTTGTTGTTGTTGTTGTTGTTGTTGTTGTTGGATTAGTAGTGGTGAATGGTGATGAGCAAAAACTTGGTAGATTTTTTTTTGGATAAGAAAGAGTCCTCTCTCATCAGTACAGTAGTACTAGTACTAGTACTAGTAGTTGTGTTGAGTGACTATGACATGGTTACCCAACAGATCATGCTAGGGAAGGAAGGACACTACACTACATACAAATTACAATACATACCACACACACCCCCATGGCATCCATCATTCTCAGCTCCTCCCACTCAACTCCACTTCTGCATCTTTAAAAGCAATAAGTGATTCCTTTTTTCCTTTGAAATCCAATTCTAGACTTGTACTTAATTTTAACTATGCTCTTAATAACATTCACATAATTTCTTGTACCTCAACCAATTAATTGGACACTCCATTTATTATCAAAAGTAAAATCCAACCACTACCACTATCTTTGACCCTTATCCCTACCCCTTCCCACCTTCTCTCACTTCCTCATATCTTATCAGCCACCCTGTCCTTCCCTTCCTCATCATCCTCCTGCTGACTTTTTTTTGCTGCTACCTTTAACTCTTTCTCAACGTTTGTCATTGCCACCACAAACCTCGCAAATCAAACCATGACAGAGAGAAATCAAGATGAAGAGACAAAAATATCGCAATTAAAGTTAGGAATTTGAATGATTAAGAATGAACGTAAACTAAATAATTGGAGTGCTATTAGGAGTATCTCTTAAATGATTGGATCTTATTAAGAAGCGTCACTAGAGAAGAATAAATAGATAATAAAAATATTTAAAAAATAAAGTAAAAAACATAGTAATAGCCTTTTCCATAATTTCAAAACTTCTTTTTTTTTTTTAATCTTTTTCGTAATTTTTAAAATATTTTAAGAAAATATTATTGCATAGAAATAGATGACAGAAAAAAATACAAAATACTTATGATGGATTATACTACAAGATTTACACACTATAGGACTCACACCTTTATAAGTGTTTTGTAATCCATTTTTTGTAATATAAAATTATTAAAATATTTTTTACACAACTCTTGATATTAAACAATACACAACATGATTGTTACACTGGGCTCTTTAAAGCCACTATGTCAACTACAATGGGCAGTTGATAAATAATAAAAAAAAAAATGAGTGATACTTTGCACCAATGGGATGGCTAAAGAAATTCAGAAATATGAGTGATAAGTTTATTGTGGAGAGGAGAAATTGGCAGAATACAGTTTTATATATATAAAAAATACATACTATTTACGTAATACAATTTTAACTATATTATTAGTGCATTCATTCACTCAAAATTAATAAATACTTGATATTCTAAATTAAATTTCATTTTCATCACTTTTTATCATCTAACCCGTTTTAACACAATTTTAACTATTTCATTGAATAACTAATGGGTCATCCTTCTACTTTTATAACCACAATAATAACAATTGTAAAATCTTATAAACTTTGTTATCCATGACCCAAAGTTTTTTTTTTTTTTTTATCCATGACCCAATTTTTTTTTTTTTTTTGTGAATAGTGATTGCCTTTTTCCAAAAGGGCCAACTACCACCCCTCATCCCAAATGTTATTGAAGTCAAAATCTTTTGACCTTAATTGTAGACCATCTATGAATAAAGAATAATGTTACACTCGTATACACTAATAAGTTTTAATTAAAAAAAAAAACTTATCATAGCATTAAAATAAATCTTATTTCCATTTCAAAATTTTATTATTACATAATTATAAATTCAAAGTTTTTATAATATATATAACTTGAGCCATAGGCATACTTTCCAATAAAAAAATCTTCCATAATGTCATGCATATGCAAGCATTCCATTTCATTTAATAAAAAAGTGAAA